GCATTGCTCTCCAGATGCTGCTGTCTGGCTTGATTTTCCAACATCATGTTCAGCTACTTCTCTTATACAACTCAGCCACGCCTGCCTGGGGTTGGTGGGCTGGGCCCTCCTCCATCAGTTATCAATGAAAATGCCTCACAGATGTATCTGTAGGCCATTTTCACCTGGACCAATAAATACATCAGTTAAAGTTCTCCCTTCCCAAGTGACTTTAGGTTGCTGTCAAGTTGACAGATGAAGGTAACTGTGAACGTTGGGTCTGCCCCCTCCCCCATATGGTCTGTTCTGAGACCACCAGGGCCAGAACTCTTAGGCTTGGAAATCACCAAGATCGTGGACACACTTTAGGCTCCTTTCACTCCCCAAACCAGCCAAGACTGGTATTTGGCCCTTGGACTGTATCTGAATGTTACCTGTGAGCCCACCACAGTGGCAAACCCAAGAGTGAAATCAATGAGTCTGCAAGCCCTCAGCTTATGGACTGTTCTGCCAGATCTGAGCGAGCCCTCTCAGGCTTTTGCGGAGATTTATTTAGCGTTCGAGTTGATTTTAAAAATCCACATTAGGAAGATATATTTTTGAATCCGGCTGACTCACTGTAACGTAACAGCTGCTTCTGCTTGAGGTTGCAGCCAGATCAGAAGTAGTCTCCTGGTCTCCATCTCCTGGAGGTAATTATTTCTCTGCTCTGTCTTCCCTGCTGGGCAGTGAGTGGGCTGCCAGAGACACTTCAGCTTGCAGCGACAGAAATGTGTCATCCTCTGCTTGAGGAACGGGTAGAAGCCCGCCCCTCCTGCACTGCCCCCCAGATGGGTCAGCCTAGCTCTACACCTTCCCTACTGAACTGAAAACTAGTCTCACACGACTGCCTGCGTGCAAAACTCCCAGAACAAGTGTTAGGACATAGTGAGTCACTCCACAAACACTCAGTGTTCTTCCTTGAGAGTAAGCGCTAACAGGAGGTCCAAGATGTTGAGATGATGTTGATTGATAAGCTGTTGATTGACAGCTCTCACAATGTACCCCATAGATGTTCCTAGGAGGGTCTCAGAATAATATTTACCTTCCTTATTTTATAATAACTATTAAAATAACAGTTTTCAGGGAGATCACATATCAGATTTATATGCCTTATCCTAATGTCTCACTAAGGATGCATGGACAAACTTTGGGTTTGTTCTGGAGATTGTTAGCACTGAGCCCAGGGCTTATGCTAGTCCAGTGCCTGGCCCTCAAGCACATTCCTAGCCCAGCACTGGGAAGTTTAAGATGAATTTATTTTACTGTTGATTAGTTTAATAGGTATGGGTAGCCATTCAGATGAACGACTTCTTTGACATAATTCTCCCGATTAAATTGAAGATTTAAAAACTAAGTTGTAATCGTATCCACACACACATACCATATAAAACATAGGTTGCATGGATATGCTAGAAGTTTATTAGGATGTGACTTAATGTCATCCTCTCTTAGCCTTGTGAGGAAGGCATCATTAGCCTCCTCATTCAGTAGGTGAAGAAACCAAATTTTAAAATTTCTTTTTTGGGTCGAAGAGTCAAAGTGCTTGCCGCCAAGCCTGGCCACATGAGCTTGACCCCCAGGACTCACATTATGGAAAGAGAAAACCAGCTTTGGAAATTTATACTCTGACTCTTGCATGCCACACACATGGGGGCCACACACACACTCACACTCAGTCACACACACACGCATGCGCGAGCGCGCGCAACACACACACACACACACACACACACAATATGTTAAAAACTTCTTTGTAGTCTGTTTCTGTTAACTGGTGAAAGACCTAGGAGTCACACTAACAATGTCTGCTCTGTTGTACCTACTGTCACCCCTCTAGAAGAGGCGGGACCAGCGGGGATGGAGACCATCAATGAGGTGAACTTAAGTCTTTGGCAGTAACCAACTTTATTCAGGGCCTCAGACAGTTTATACTCTGAGGGTTAAGAAAGGCCACATAAGTAAAGTTTTCATGACTTCAAGTTGTGTACAATCAGCAAGATAAGTCCCACGTGGCAAAAGCATGTTTTCCCGCAGAGGCACATGAAGGATGGTTTAAACATTCAGTTGAATAACAGCAACAATCAATAATGAGGAATCTGAAGTGAGCTCCCTTCTGTCCACCAGTGGGAGGAGCATGGAAACACATTTCAAGAACAATGCCATGTTTCGAAGGAACTGGGGTTTGCAAGACTCTTGTCTGTCTGTGGCTCGTTCTCATAAGCACTTAGGGTTCCCACAGGACTTCATTGCTGGGTTGTTCGGACAGGCTAAGTTGTCTTCCCCTTCATCTTCTAGGAACCCCGTGCCTCATGTTTTACGTTAACTTGGGTTTTTTTTTTTCTAAAGTTTAAGGTACATTTGTATTAGAGGTTTTGGAAATTTCAAAGAAGAATTTCTGGTTGTATGAGCGCTTAGCATGAGGTCCATCCTTTGACCATTTGTCAGTGGGGTTCCAGCATTGCTGGCTGGTAGAGCAGATCTCGTCTGTATGTCTTTCCACAGCTCCGCATGACTGATACAAGGAAGCAGAAGGAAGCCACAAAACTGGCAGAATCCCCCCCCCCCCCCCCCCACACACACAGTATAGACTTACCAGACTCATGGCTCCTGGCACCTTCCTCTCCACCATGACATTTCCCTGGCAAGCTCCCTCTTCCTTTGGAAGAAACAAACATTCTGTCCTCAGGATCCTTGAAAAGCCACCAAGTTCAAGGTGGCCACACACTTCTCCCTGTGGGGTTGGAAGAGGCTGCCAGCTCTGTTCCCAGATGGCAGCTCTGCCATGGTCTGTTTTGAGCAGAGAGCTCAGTGAATCTATCTACACAAGTATACATGCAGATAAACTTGCCAACTGATTTAATTAAACTTGTTCTCAATTATAGTGGCATTTCAGTTATATTTTAATAAATAAAACTTGCCTGAAGATCTGAGAATAAAACAGCCCCAATTGTCACCCTTACAGACCAGGTATTGGTATACACACCTTTACTCCTAGTAACCACACTAGTTTGCTGTAGAAACCTGGTTTTTAATCACAGTGGTGCACGCCTTTAATCCCAGCCCTAACAGCTCTGGACACACAGTCTCATTCTGAGATTCCTAGAGGCAGGATCACCATTTCAGACTTAGGCTGAGGTAAAATCCAGTGACGGGCTGCTTTGCTTTTCAGATCTTCGGGTTGAACCCCAATCTCTCTCTTTGAGTTTTACTAATTGTGCTTCACTCAATTCAAATGGTAATGTTGGACAAGAACTAAGGCTCTACCACATCACCAGTATTATTATCTTTCTAGATTGTGGTCTTTATATATGTGTGTGTGTACAATACAAATACCACATATATAATTATACACACATATACATATATACATACATTCACATCACACACAATCACACACTCATACACACACACATATAAATGGGTTTTATAGTGTGTGGTCTAGCTAATCCAACAATGGCTGTCTACCAATGGAATGTCCAAGAATCCATTCGTTCTTCAGTGCATATGGCTGGATGTCTCAGCTGGTCTTTACTATATTCCAGAATCCTGAAGAAGTAGGCTCTAAAGCTAGTGAAGGAATGGATTTGCAAGCGAAAATGAGAACAATTAGTCAAAGGGAGGACGCTTCCTTCTGCCAGATCCTTTATATAGGCTGCCAGCAGAAGGTATGACCCAAAGTAGTGTGTCTTCCCCTCTTAATAGGTCTGGATTAAGGTATGTATTCCCACCTCAAATGATTAAATTAAAAAAAAAAAAAACCTGCTCTGGGTATGGTGGCCCACACCTCTAATCCCAGCACTTAGGAGGCAGAGGGAGGTGGCTCTCTGAGCTTGAGGCTGGCCTCAAGTGTTTTAGTGACCCGTCTACCTCTCATCTCCCTGTTAGCACAGGGGAAACTGACATCTGGACTGGAAGTGGGGGAACTGAACAGCTACCTTAGGGAAGGGGGAGAAGTCCACACGGAGAATCAGGGCCTAGAGCTGGCCCGCTGTGGGGAGGCAGTGCAGCAGCTTTTGTTTGTAGTTTTGGTTTATGAAATAGAGTGTTACATAAATATTTTAAAAGCAGAACAAAGTCATTCCTAACTCTGCATTTTGGAGTTACAAAGTAACCTCTGTTTTTTCTCTTAGCCTGCCTGCCTTCTTTCTTTCCTCCCTCCTTCCCTCCCTCCCTCCTTCCCCCCTCCCTTTTTCCCTCCCTCCCTCCTTCCTACCCTCCCTCCTTCCCGCCCTTCCTCCTTCCCATTCTTGTCCTCCTCCTCTTCTTCTCCTTGTTTTTAGATTTTATTTTAATGTGCATATCTGTGTGTGTGCAGATAATGCCGTCCACATATGTGTGAGATTAGAGAATAGCTTGTTGGCGTTGGTTTTCTTCTTCAATCATGTGGGTCCCAGTGATTGAACACAGCTTATTCAGGCTTGGTGTTTATCCACTCATCCATCTCGCTGGCCCAGGGGCATTGCTACTGTGTTCTGAACTCTGTGGTTTCTGTTGGGCAAATTCTGTGCATCGTGCATGTTGGTTAAGTCCTCATTTTAGAGACTGACTCCTCATTCCTCTTTCTCTTTTTCCTTCCTCTCTTCCTACTTCCTCCCCTCCACTCCTGTTCTGACACATAATTCTGTTAGCCCTCCTTTTCCTCACAATATATCTTTGGCCAAATTCTATCTTATTCACTCAGCTCCTTTCAGTGTCCCCTCCGACTCATGCGAATGATAGGAAATGAGATCTTTGCACCGTGCTCGCTTGAATAACCCATTCTGAAATAGTCTTCCCACATCCTTGTTGGTGGCCTTGTACTATTTTCTATCCATCTCTTGTGAAAAAAAAACCCAGTGTTTTAAAAGATTTTTATAGCTCCAGAATGGAGCCATGGCAGATACACGCTGTTATCACTGATGTTATGATCTTTCTTTAGGAACGTGACAGCCTAAGGCTCTCTGTCACTTTTGTCTCCATCTCTCGTCTTGTTTCCCCAGACCCCATGGCAACTCATAAAGATGCGCAGAGTGACGCCGATGGTCCACCAGAAGACCTCCAGTCGACAGGCACCAGCAGGCTACTCTATCATATCACCGACGGTGATAACCCGCTGCTGTCACCGCGGTGCTCCATCTTTAGCCAAAGTCAGAGGTTCAACCTGGACCCTGAGTCAGCCCCGTCTCCACCCAGCAGCCAGCAGTTTATGATGTAAGAAAGCCCACTTTAACTGTCTTCATTGCATGTAGTTTTCCAAAGACATTCATAAGACTCAGTGAGACTCGGCCCCAAAATAGGGCATATGTGCCCATGGAATACAGCCGTGAGACCCTGTGATAAAGCAGGGTTCTCCCTCTTCAGTTGGGAATACCATCTCTGTACTGACATAGGTTTCAGGAAGAAAAGGCTATGAGATACCTGTGGATGTTTTGGGTAGATTGAGAAGTGTGTGTCTATACAAACATCTAGAGTGTTTTCTTTCTTTCTTTCTTTCTTTCTTTCTTTCTTTCTTTCTTTTGTTTTTGTTTGTTTTTTGAGACAGGATTTCTCTAGTTTTGGTGCCTGTCCTGGAACTAGGTCTTGTAGACCAGGCTGGCCTTGAACTCATAGAGATCTGCCTGCCTCTGCCTCCCGGGTGATGGGATTAAAGACATGCACCACCACCGCCCAGCTCTAGAGTGTCATTCTTAAGTAGCCCAGTGTGTTTTCCACATCCAGCAGTGGATGGAGTGTAGATTAGAAAGTTCCCCCTTCAGCTCCTTGTTAGGTTCTAGAAAAGTATCCTCCCCAGATTGAATGGGCAACTAGATATAGCAATATGTCATATGATATAGATATATGTCAGATCTGCCCCCACCTTACACCGGTCTTTTATCAGTTATAGTAAGATGTGGTTCCTGGACCCAGCTCACTTTGGTCATTCATCAGTTTCTTCCTATATGTCAGATGTGACACCCACATTGGTCATTTTAACAGCATCTCCCTGTGCACCAGAAGTGGGGTCCACACACACTTGGCAATGGTCCTTTGCATTTGAGATTGGAGTAAGTTCTAGGAACTATTTTTAGCTTGCATAAATACTTTTGCTGTGTAATTAAAAGGGAGACTCCCTTGGCTAAAGTTTACTCTCTTTCAAGGTCCCTAATTTTTCCTCCAAAATGTCTACTATTCGTAAGTTTATCCCATCTGGGCCCCCATAGGATGGATCATGTATGATGGCCCTGAGGGACTGAATGAGCCATTATAGTTGCATGGGAATTGTGTGTCATGTGAGACCCTGAAAATATTTCCTGGAGTGAGGGTTGTTCCTTTTGACACATTTGAAAAGGTTTCTTCTTAAGTCAGGATAGTTAGTTAACCACACATTTAAATCTTGTTTGAAAATGCCATTAGGTGCGACTTGTACAAGCTGTTGAAGAGGAGCCTCAGCTGGGCTGTCTGAGTCCCAAGTTAACCTTAACTATGCTTTGAGAAATGTATTTCATCTGCTGATATTTTGACATTTGTGTATATGAAAAGTCCCCAAGGATACTGGCCCACAATGAAGTGCTGTGGTCAGAGGTCACAAGGGATGAGTGGGAGCTCCTGGTAGACGAGTCACAGAAGGAGCTGCTCTCGGGAATTCTCTCATCTCCTGGCTTCAAAGGTTAGGCAGCAACGTTCACCGAAGCCCCCTGCTGGAAATATTCTTTGTCTGTCTGTAACCATGCAGGCCACGAAGCTCTTCTCGGTGCAGTGGTGGGGATGGCAAGGAGCCCCAGACCATTACACAGCTCACGAAGCAGATCCAGAGCCTCAAGAGGAAGATTCGGAAGTTTGAGGAAAAATTTGAGCAAGAGAAGAAGTATCGGGTAAGTACTGCAGGGTTTAACGAAAGCATAGATCGTGTCAGACAAGTGTGTGTGTTTTCTTGGGTCTTCATCCCTTGGTTTTGGCTTCTACTCATTGCTGGGGGACAGCTCTGTACCCACTGGCCACCCGTCCCCCTACCCCATCATTAGCTAAGCTTAATGGCTAGTCTGTCTCTTTCTCACATGTAGGAAACTGACCTCTGCTCCATACATCCAACGCACTACAACTCTTACTTTTAAACCTTTTGATTATTCATTTCCCCAGTCTTTCTGAGCATCCTTATCGACACTAGGTTTTTCTGGATCAAAAATTTCGAAAGCTTCTGAGTGTTGAACTTTACCTGTGTGTTGATAAGGACTTAAGGACCCAACATGCAGAAACTCCTTAATTTCAGAACATAATGATGGCAGGCACAATTTTTTTTGTGCATCTTCTTTTTTTTTTCCTTTTTTTTTTCCATGAAAGAATGCCCTACCCTGATGGATGAGTGATCACTTCTCAGGTGACACCTGCTCAGGTCAGTCGTGAGAACAAGCAGACTCCTCTTTTCCCAGCAGGCCCCGGTCCTTCTGCTGGGTTGGCAGAGTTGCCAGCACAGCTTTGTCTTTTCTCACACATGAAACCATCGAGCTGCAGATCAGGGTCAACTTGACAAGTGCTGCTTATATTTATTTTCTCTCTTGGTGACCATGGAGTGGAGAAAATTCAGATCCACAGAGACTTGCACAAAGCTAGTGGGTCTCTGGCAGGCAGCCCAGAGCCGCTGGTTATTAGAGTAAAATAGAGTAGAGAAAAATCTCTCAGACATCTTGAAATGTTTAAAGGCCCAATAAGCTCTCGGTACAGACACAGTTGGAAGGTTCCTGTGAGTTTGTGATAAGTTCTGGGGGACAGTGGTGATTGGGTGATATTCTTCCTTTCCCTTCCTGTCCTGCATGGCTGTGGCTTCTCAGAGAGTAGAGTTTTAAGAAGTGGAGAAATGCAATCGGAATGACTTTCAAGACTGTCTATGGATGTTACAGATGCTTCTCTTCATTCGGCAGTCATGGCTTCTCTCTGTCCATGTGAAGGATGTCTCTGTTTTCTCAGCCTTTATCCTGTAGATGAGTAAGCCCAGGTCCAGACTTCTAACTAGTTGTGAGTTATCCCTTGAGGTTTGGAGCAGGAAGTCTATGATTAGCAGGCTTGCGTGGTGTTGTCAGATTCTTAGTGCCCATCTTTAATAGCCCCAATATTCTGGGAGGAGCTCGTTCTGTCTTTGATCTGCAGGAGTTTGACAGACCTGTCATTGCTACCGTCGTGGACACTCAGAAACAAACGGGGCTTCTGTTTCTGAGCCTGTTCACACGTGTGAGCTGGAAGCTTGGATTTTAGCCCCCGCACAAATCCTCAGCAGCCTTTTGTCTCTGGACATGCTACTTCTTGTTCTGCATCTGCGACAGTGACTGAAATTTGCAGACCCTACAGGGAGAACCTGTGTGACACTGTTTGTCATAGAGAGAGCGAAAGGTCCTTGGTGTCACCAGTCTCTCGGTGTGTGTGAACCATACCAAGCAGGCTACATGACAGGCCCTGTCTTGGAAGGAAGGGAAAGGGCTTGTGCACATTTAATCTGCACTGCATCCCCACCTGAGCTGTGCACCTGGCTTAATTTTCTCAACTGTTACAGTTATCAGCAGTTGCCTGTTTTGTTAGAGAATTTCTTCTGATATCCTTCACTCTCTCTGGAGAAGCTTTAAAACCAAGAGAGGAGGCAGTCATACACACACACACACCACACTACACACTTACCCTGGCACATTCACATATCACACACACACACACACACACACACACACACACACACCAGCACAGCACATGCCTGCATACACATCACATGCAAACTCATCCCCTCATATACTCACACCACACTCTTACCCTGGCACACGCACACACAATCACACCACATACTTCACACTTACACCACACATGCATGTACAGATATGCACACATGTGCACACCCACCATCATATACATATGCTTATGTGTGCTCCAACACATGTGTGAGCGGAGGGTTCTCAACCTGTGGGCAGCAACTTTCAGGCAGGTTGTCAAATGATCCTTTCACAGGGGTCGCCTAAGACCATCAGAAAACACAGATATTTACATTATGGTTCATAATAGTAGCAAAATGACAGTTATGAAGTAGCAATGAAAATAATTTTATGACTGGGGGTCACCACAACATGAGGAACCGTATCAAAGGGTCACAGCATTAGGAAGGGTGAGAACCACTGATTTAGAAGCTAGAGCATCAGTTGAGGTAGCTCTCATTGCTGTATCAGTGTTGACCTCTTAAGTTGGCATCTTAGCGTATCCTAGGAAATGAGGAAACAGGGTATCCCCTCGCTCCTCTTGTTTGCCAGGGTCCAGGCTGTGGTTAGAGGTGTGGCAAGCCAATTGCCCTGTGGAAGGCCTGCTTTCCTTCCCATCAATTGGACTGTGGTATTAACATCCTCCTATGGCGACGTCTGAATCTCAGCTCTTGCTGGGCTTCTTGGTTTCTGTGATGTCCACAGATACACAAGTCTTTCCATCTCTGCCAAATGAGGACCTGGCTAGAAAGGGCTAGTTCATCCAAATGTCCACTTTCAGTAGAATGTGTTAAAACTGGACAAAGCAAGTTGAACTTTGTCTTATCCAATGACTGGAGAAACAGCCCAGAGAGGTGAACTGAACTCTAAGAGTCACATAGCCAAGATTCTAGTTAGGACAACCAAGGTCTTTTCATTGCCAGTCAGGAGTCCTTCTCAAGAGTCTTGTGAATTATTTTTGACTTAGTACAAATCTACTACAATAGTTTCGGCAATAATGTATCTGGCTACTTCCTCTTAATCATCCCTAAGTGTCTGACCTTTGGGGTCCACTAGACATTTCCATCCAGTCGCAAAGAGGCCTGACAAGCTACTGTGAGTGTGTGGGAACGTCTGTGATTTGAGAGCCATCTTCTACACAAGCTGAAGCTGACCTTAAGGAAGCTCCCTTAAGGGCAGAAAACTAAGAAGAAAATTCAGTTTTGCAACTGATTTCAGGCTTTCAAGTACTTTGCCCTAAAATTCAGTCTCCAATTCCTCCTTCATCCTGAGGGTGTTGGAAACCTTACTGTTCTGTTGGTCACTGACTTAAGACCCTGGTGTGTTTTGTGTACTTTCTATATTCCTTTGGCTGTGAATGGGGTAGCCCCAGTGAAGCATCGCTTACCTGCATAGATATGTTCTTAGAATAGAGAGTCCTCTAAGGGGTCCAAGAGACCAAATGTAAAACTTAAGCTGTCAATATAGCAAGACAACTAAGCCCAAAGTACTAGACTACATTATCAGGGTTCTAACACAGTGCTTCCTTCTGGAGACCCTAGATGGGGCTACGCTAAACGCTAAACCCTAAACCCTATTTATTTGTCTATTTTCCAGAGGGAGGGCTTGGGGTGCCTGTGTCGCTATCCATGGTTCTGACAGTTCAGGGCTCCACCATGGAAGCTATAGTACCCCGTCCGTCCTCTTCAGAGGAAAAGCATCCTTGTGATTTTCCTTCAATCTTCCTTTTCACCTTGATTTTCAGATGTGGGTTTCTGTGTCACCCCATCAGTGACTGAATTATTCCGCGCTCTCACAGTGAACACAGCATTCATGCATATCTAATGCTGTCACGCGAGCACTGTTTGAGCCTTTGATATTGAGCGTAATTTCCGTCATCCTGTGCCTGTCACTGAAGACTTGCTCATCTCACTTGAGATAAGCGGGTCTTCAAGGACTGGCTGCTGACAGGGCAGGCACTTTGCCTGTTACCACCGTGCGGGGGGCACCCAAGCATCAGAGCCAGGTTCCTTGTGTAGTCTCAGGTCTGTGGGGAGGGGGTAAACCATCTTCAGCCTGCTTTTAAGTTGTCATGGTAACTTTGACTGAAAGATGCTCACTCTGATCTGTGGCATAGAGGGTAAGGGTGTTGAGCCACCTTTAGCTACTGATTTCTCTCTCTCTTTTTTTTTTTTTTGATTTTTTTCGAGACAGGGTTTCTCCGTAGCTTTTGGTTCCTGTCCTGGAACTAGCTCTTGTAGACCAGGCTGGCCTCGAACTCACAGAGATCCGCCTCCCTCTGCCTCCCGAGTGCTGGGATTAAAGGCGTGCGCCACCACCGCCCGGCTCTGATTTCTCTTTTTGAGGAAAGTCCACCTTTGTGCTCTGACAAGAAATTCAGGAGTGAATGATCTGATTGGCAGAGTCAGTGAAGACACATTCAGAACTCCTCTGAAGGCCTGGTAGAAATAATACTGCCACCACTGTCTGCTGCTAGTGAGGCCAAGCTAGTGACGGTGACTTGTGGTCTGAGCTAGCAGCTTCTGTGTTGCCCAGTGTGCACCCGCAGGTGTTCACAGTTCTTTGTAGCTATTGATCCCCATGCAGGAAGTCTGTGAGGCAGATGCTGCAATCCTCACATATTTAATATTTGAGACCATAGAGCACAGAGGAGCTGAAGAATCTGCCCAAGGTCACCTGCATCACTTTAATGCTGGTTGAGTGGGTTCTTGAAGTCTAAACAGCGCTTAGAAGTAGGAAAGTTTGTTCCCTGGTAAGACTGGCTTTCAGGACAATTATCAAGCTTCAGAGACCATGGGGTCTTCTTTCTTGAGCTTCGAGGACATGACTGGTGTGCTCTCAGCCTTCTGATTGGTTAGTGTTTTCCAAGAGGGTCCAGTCCTGAGCCACATGCCAAGTAAAAAGCATTCATTTCTGTACTGCCACTGTTCATCTCCACTGGCAGAGAGTATGGCCTGGAAGTGACTTATGGGCTGTGATGGCCTAGGAGGTGATAGGAGTGGATGTACTGGCATGGTTAGGATGTGTGAAAATACTGGGTGCCTTGGCATGCTTCAGAATAATGCCCATGGAGGAGTGACAGGAGAGAAGAGTTTCATGCACTGGCACCGTGCCCCGGTGCCCCTCCCACCGCAGCGTGTCTCTGAATTATCTGTGAGGCGCAGCTGCTTAACACTTTGGCTTCCTTTTTCTCCCTCTTCTGTTTCTCCTTTCTCTCCTTTCCCCCTCAATCCCCCTCTCCCTCCATCGCCCCTCCATCACTCCCCCTGCATTGCCACTCCTTTTCTCTTTGGATTTCCCCTCCTGCAGCCCTCACATGGAGACAAAACTTCAAATCCTGAGGTCCTGAAGTGGATGAATGACTTGGCTAAAGGACGGAAGCAGCTCAAAGGTGAGTGTCTCTTCTCTCAGCCAGCCACTGGTCATCCCAGCATAATGTCCGGGGCCATTGCAAGCCACTTCCACCCGGGCCTTCCTGAGCTTTGGTTTCCTGCTTCATCTGGGGTTCTAGCTGAGATGACGGCCCCTGGATCCAAACAGCATTCAGGCCCTCTTAATAAACCTCCTACAAGAGAGACCTGGGGCCTCCAGCCAACCTGTGGGGCTCTAACCTCCCTGGTTACTAGATTGTGGGAAGCAGAAGTTGCCTAAGAAGTCATCCAATCACAGTTGCACTGCCTAGGTGACTGTGCCAAGCCCGGAGGGCAAGTCCTATGACTTGGAGGTATTGAGCTAGGCAGACGACTCGCCTGCCTCCCTGGCTCTGCATCAGTTCCTCTTCTTCCTTTGTCCCTTTTGGGATGATGATGTATTATGAATGCTGAGGACAGTCACTGTCCACTCATACAAGGTATTTTCTTTTTCCTTTTGTTCTGTCAGTTCTTAGATATATGGGCATTGGTCCAAATTTCTGGACATTTCATGATTAAGAACTGGAAAAGAATAGTAAATTATGGTATTTAACTGTAATGATGTAGTGTGTTTATAAAAACACACAGCGTTTAAACTCCAAGCTAGAACTTGGCATGGAAGCTCATGCCTGTTATTTCAGTATCTGGTAAGTTGAGGCAGGGGCTACATAGTAACTTGCAGGCAAGCATAGACTACAGTTAGACACTGAGTCAAACAACAACGTAAATCAAACCCAAAGCCAGAGAACAAAACTATTTTAAATAAAGAAAATGAGCTATATTATATAATTAAAAATCAATATAAATGGTCTTATTCGACTTCCCCTTCCCATGTAATGTTCTGAAATGCAATTCCATGGTAGGTCCAAGATTATTTTTATATTTTCATTTTGAATTGTCTGGGGTTGCATAAAGCCATGTTGTTAAAGAGATGGGCTCTGGATTTTGGAAGCTAACGTTAGGATCTGGAAAGATGTCCAGGGTTTTAAGAGTGCTTACTCCTCTTCCAGGAGACCCCAGTTTAGTTCTTAGTACCCACACACTGCTTGTGATGCCACCCAGTTCTAGCTCGCGGGACTTCTGAGGTCATCTTCTGGCCTCTGTGGACCTTTGCACTCACATAGCAGAACACACACACACACACACACACACACACATTAAATCTTTGGGTAAAAAACGTTAGACAAGAATGTGAAGTGTGTCAAGTTGGGGCTGGAATTCCCAATGCCCCTCATCTCTTCTGCTTTCTCAGGTCTTTGTATGTCATGCATGACGTAAGCACCTGCATTTCCAGAAGTCTTTCTACATACACAGCTTTTACCATGCGTACCCACAAACTACTACGCATAGAATTTCAGGTGCTACAGTGGGCAAGAGTGGAAATCAGGGGGCTGTGCCTTCCTCCTGACATCTGCTGCAATCCAAACCCGAGTTCTTGTCTCAAGGTCGTCCTCCCCAGGGAAGCCCAGCCTCTAGGGCTCTGTCTGTGTGGCCCATTGAGTGCTTATGATATACTGGTTATGGTTAAGGCTGACTTCGCCGGCTGGAAGTCATCATTAGCATTGCTCCTGCCTTGGGCAGAAATTCCTGAGAAGCTCTGTTTTAAATTGGACTAGTGAGTCCTTCCTGCTGGTGGTAACTCAAGGCATTTCTCATAGAACTAAAGCTGAAGCTGTCGGAAGAACAAGGGAGTACCCCCAAAGGCCCCCGGAGAAACCCACCCTGTGACCAGCCTCCAGTGCCCAGAGAGAATGGCAAGTTGGAAGCTGTGGGTCCTGAGCCAAGCTCCTCTGGAGAGGAGACGTCAGATGCTGCGGTGATGGAGAAGAGAGACCAGACTCCTCTCCAGGATGATGTGAAGGTACCTTACCACATCGGCACAGGGGTGGTGGTGGCGAGGGCGTGGTGTTGGCCATCTGTCAGAGTAGGACTTGCCCGCCATTGTCACACCTTTAGAAGACTGTTGAGCTCCTAGGGTTAATGGCTGGCTGTGACCTAGGATGTAGTGGTGTGATTCTAGGATGTGCTACTTCCGGAGGAGGTGTGTGCTGGTGGAAGGTGGTAAAGACAGGAGGAGGTATTCTGGGCTCCACCAAGGATGTAAATAAACCCAAGTCTAGGGTTTGATTATATTACTGGTAAAGAAAAGTGCCAGTGTAGGCCCTTATATGTTGGAGTGTGATAAAGAAAGGCGAGGCATAAAGTCAGGGTTTCATGTCCTAAGAAGAGAACTGTGGTTTCTATGGAGTGATAGATCTTGGAACTAAAGATTTCAGCTTTACGCATCTTAGTTTTGAAATCGGAGACAGCTGGATAGAGTTGTCAGTTAGGTATTAGGCTACATAAGCCTGGGGCTTAGCCGGAAAGATTACATTTTATAAAGAAAAGCAGAACTTACCCTGGTAATCCCTCCTCTTGTTGCTTATCTGTGCTTCCATTTCACTTAGGCCAAGGGAGCTTTCTTGAGTCCCTTCCCTATCAAAGCTGAGGCTCACGTGGTTGAGCTTTACTTCCTGTGTAAGAGCGGCAGTCACCTTGTCACCTCTAAATTAGATTATTTCCTGCCTCAATCCATCACATTTCTTGCACAGAAGGACTATCAATTGTTCATAGCATCATGGTGTCTATCCATAATAGGTACTGCATGTACATCTACTGAGTGAATGTCCCAACGAACAAATGGATGACATTTGACTCTGGAAGGAAGTCTTGTTGAGAAGTATGATCACTTTCCCTATTCTGCCATACATGACCTGGTCTTAATAAGGTGGGACTATTAACCAGCTCTCAGAAGGCCTATATGTCCCTTGTTAGTGTTTCACTCTGGGACTTGTGTTCTGCAAGCACACATAGGACCAGAGTCACCTCCCTCATCCTTTCACCCTTACATGTGAAAAAGAACCAATGTGTTCTGAGTCATAAAGGGAAGTCAGTGGTGGTTGTGTCATTGGCTGGTATGTTGTGCTTCCCATACGTCCACCCTGCCCCCCAACATTCTAGACTTTGATGATAGCCAGTGGATAACTTCTGTGAACATGTACACACTGAGGTTTCCCAGCCATTAGTATTTCCAAGAGTCTTGGTTGTATTTTATAGTTATCTTATTCATATCTATATAAACATCTTGGTCCGTGTCAGCATCCCAATGGTTGATTCATCAACATCCTCTGACTATACTTACCTCCGAATAGTCTACTCGGCTATTAATTCATCAGTGGATTAATCCACTGATGAGGCCATTACCCTCATGATCCAGTCACCTCTCAACAGAGCCACTGGCTGGGAACCAAGACACAACACAGGAGCCTTTTTGGAGGGACATTTTATATCCAAACCATAGTAGTAAATGATTGATGGACAGTCACACATTTCCAAAAGATCTAAATGATTGTTCTATGAGTTCAGGTGAATCAAGATAGAGACGTTATGTCTCAACCTTCCTCCTGCTTCAACCCTTTAATATAGTTCTCATGCTGTGACAGCCTACCCAACCACCACGTTATTTTCATTGCTACTCCAGCACTAATTTTGCTACTAATTTTGTTATGAATCATAGTGTCAATATTTTTGGAGATGGAGGTTTACCACATGGGTCATGACCTACCTGAGTGTTTAGAAGTCATCCTTGCATAAAATGGCAAAATTCTTTTACTTTAAGCAAAATATCTATTGAGTAGCTTAGTGAGTGTCAGAAGCCACTACAAACAGACCTAAGAGCTCTACAATAGAGCCGGGGCCTTTTAGATGGGGGCTGTCTGTAGTGGGATGTGCAGGCTTTGATACCATATTCCGGTACTGCTCCAGAGAAGTGTAACCAGAGGGAGGCATACGGTTGTATAGGGTCGATACCAACAATGAGTTCAGAGACCACGGCGGAACTAAAGGACATCTAGCCAGTTCCCTGCTTCCTCAACAACCCGTGGCATGTCAGCTCATCTTGCCAAGTTCAGGTTCTTAAAGCTTGAATGGGTAGATAACTTTCCTCTGGTCTTGCCATACACCTAAACCACATGAACTATTCAAATTTCCGTGGTGAGTGATTCTCCCCTCCTCCCAGACTTCTGGGGAATTTCTTGCCTTGGTGTTATAGTCAGAGCTCATACTGAAGCTGAGAACCCCTACAGAATAGCCTGCTTAGTTCAGATATTGTCACTCAGACATTTTTCCCCCTTTATATAGAATTTTTTTAAAGAGCTAATCACTGGAAACAAACCTATTTTCTGTTCCTACTTCTGCATATTGCTGGCTACCTATACTCCAAAAAATGCTATCTTTTGATTTTAGTTATGTACTAAAGGAACCACATTGAGTAAAATATGGCTTGCTGATAGTTACTGTTGCCCATATAAAATAGCTAGAGAGAGCTGTCAAGGGTGATGAGCATTGCTGTCCAGGTCAGTATGCACAGATAAATCCCAAAGGTTTATCCTTCCCTCCCTCTTCAGTTAAATGGAAAAGGAAGTGAACTCAAACATAATTTGGTCGGATGTGTTGGCAGCTAGCTCTCTCTGTCATGCTAAAAATTCTTTACTTCCTATGCGGCTCCCATCCTTAGGAGTGGCATTGCATCCTGAGAAGTTGGCATTTCAAACTGTCACAAAGTGGCCAGCCCAGATGTTTTCTCTCTGACCCTGGTCAGGAGGTTATTTAGGAAAACTCGAGAAGATTTATCCATCTGCTTGTTTCTTTCCCCACGGAACAGCTGCTGTGGCCTCTTTCTCAGGAAAGCACAGCAACTTGAAATGCAATCATTCCTCCCCCCCTCTTCATCCCCACAAATGAGCTTTCTCTCAAGGAGGTAAGTGAAACACTGACATTTCTCTCTCTGGATAGGGAGGGACAGGAAACGATGATGTTTTTAGTTTTAGGAATCAAGGGCCTTCAATATTTCTCCATGTGTGTCTGAGGCCCTCATGTGGGCTGGCATCACATGCTCGTTTCTCTTTGGGGACTAATCAGTAATGATCCAGGAGTAACAGCACTAGCATTAAGAGGACTTGAGTTGATTGTACGCACACTGCAGTTTTCATCTAGTATCTGGGGCGGATCATTTTCTAAAGCAGCGTTCTCATTCTTGATGATTTTCATTTTCCAAGGTTTCTTTGCATTTGTGTATTTAAAACATTTTATTTTTAATTAAAATAGTCACACCATCATCTCCCCCAACCTCAGTTTTTCCCACGATGTCCCTGCCTCTCTCCTGCTCCCTCTGAAACTCACAATCTCTTTTTCTTGCGCCGTGCATGCGCGCGCGCGCACACACACACACACACACACACGCACACACACACACACACACACACACACACAATATGCCAAGTCCATTTAGTGTTGCTTATATGCATGTTTTTAGGGCCAACCACTTGGCCAATTTGGGGGCCCGTCCCGGGAGCAAACTAATTCTCCCTCAATATTTGTTAATCGCCTGTAGCTCTATCTTGGGGTGGAGCCATATGAGATTTCCCTCATCCATGCTGGCCTATCAACAAATGTCATCACTGCCCAGGTCTTGTTTAGGCAGCCATATTGTTGAGACTTCCTGGGCGCAGCTTCCACCTTTTATCTAGAAGATAGAATTTGGCAGCAGATGTCCTGATTGTTTTTCCCTTCTGGGATTCTCTTAGAGTCTGGAGAATATAGTAGGTAGAAAAAACACAATCAAATTTCAAAAGAGACCAGTGTTTAAGTACATTGTTTTGCCAGTGCTTCTGTAGAATATACATCCCAGTGAGGTACTGAAGGGAAATACTATTTTAATGCTTTCTGAACTTATATTTATATTTTTCCTCTTAAAATGTAGTGAAATCCATGGATTACATATTAGCAGGATGTGTGTGTCTGTGTGTGCACGTGTATGTCTGAAGATGTTAAGAAAATGTTGAAAGAGTGAATTTGGCTAGAAAATTAAAGGCCCTTAAGGTTATGAACCAAAACTAAAAGGCCCTTGCAGCAAATTATCTTTCTCTTGAAAATACCAATGAGCCTGAGGTTACAATCTGGGGTTTGTGTATAAATTCATATAACATGATAATATATAGATAGGCAGTGGTGGCGCATGCCTTTAATACCAGCACTCAGGAGTCAGGGGAAGGTGGATCTCTGTGAGGTTGAGGCCAGCCTGGTCTACAGAGTGAGTTCCAGGACAGCCAAAGTTGTTACACAGAGAAACCCTGTCTTGAAATGCAAAGCAGAGAGAGAGAGAGAGAGAGAGAGAGAGAGAGAGAGAACTAATAAGTAGAGTTCTTTTCATTTAACAATCAGGATAGGGTTGTGGCAGATAATGGTGAGATGCTAAATATGTAGTGGTATCTTGGGCCTCAGTAAGTTTTCATTTGGCAGGTGAGAATAACAAAGAAAAGTTAAGGTCCAGATAGCAGAGTAGAAAGGTTCATAGAAAAGGAAGATCAGCATGGATCAATATGGCTTGTAGCTGCCATGGGTATGGAACATCAAAAGTGTCACCAGGGAGCTATTTTGTCTCAAGTCTCAGGAAGGTCTGGAAGGCAGAGCTATTTAGCCTGTTGTCGTGTGTACTTCCATAAAAGACCCATGGGTGACCGTGGTGAATTTTCCCCTCCTGTCCCCTGCCCTGATGAGTATCAACCATTGGCTAAAACTAGAGCGACAGCTGTACGTAATGGGTATATAGCAGATTAATGCATATATAGTATATGTATATATGGAGCAGGGCTTGGGGGACTAGGAAGAAGATGGGTTTGGCCGCTTTGGATAGATATGTGGATAAGCAGCAGAGAGAGACATTGAGTTTTTATGTGAACCGTGACCTGCTCCGTGGTGTGTAGGGCTGGGTCCTTCAGCAGATGGGAACAGAAGGCATTAGTACACTAAGAGGTTTGGCATTGTTGTGGTTAGAACTTCAGTGAGCCAATTAAAAATACCTGTCTGTCTTTGGAGCAGCATGGAAGGAACTCTAAAACTCTAACCCCTTTGTTGTGTGGGTAGGAAACTCAGGATTCAAAGTGTTTTATCTCAATTCACTAAAGTTTTTTTTTTTTTTTTTTTTTTTTTTTTTTTTTTTTTTTTTTTTTGGTTTTTTGAGACAGGGTTTCTCTGTGGTTTTGGAGCCTGTCCTGGAACTAGCTCTTGTAGACCAGGTTGGTCTCGAACTCACAGAGATCCGCCCGCCTCTGCCTCCCAAGTGCTGGGATTAAAGGCGTGCGCCACCACTGCCCGGCCACAATTCACTAAAGTTTTTGTGAGAACTAACTAGTAAGACAGTATCCATTCTTCGTATGTAATAATGGAGGCCTGGACATAACGGGTATTTGTGAATGTAACCACAAACGTTCACATAGCATAGATGTTTGAAAAAAAAAGTGATAGGTCTTGGTTTTCACCTTTAACCCACTGCTCATGTTTTGCAGACTTGTTCACAAAGCCTTATGGCCCAATTTTCTATACTCACCCCATTCTTTATGGGATTTTTTTCTAGCCCCCCTCCCCTAAAATATTTCTTCCTTTTTACTCATTGCTGTTTAAGTATTGGGATCCTCTGGGGTTTCAAAACATGACTTTTGAGGGGCAGGGGAGAGCTGCTGGAATATTGTCTTAGGGAATAGACTATAGCTCGGTGGTAGAGTGCTTATCTAGCTTGTACAGGTTCTGGGATGGATCCCCAACACGTGGTGGGTGCAGGGAGAATATTGACCGATAAAAGAATACAGATTAATTTTGTTTTTCAGGTAACTAAGCAGGACAAGAACCTCATAAAACCTCTTTATGACCGATGCAGGATTATCAAGCAAATCTTGTCAACACCGTCCCTGATCCCAACGATTGTAAGTAAAGACGGCTGCACGATTTGGAAACCTTGATTGGCACCTTGCACCTATGCTGTTTAGCACTGGGTCATAGCAGCACAGATGTTACCAAGTGGCCTCCCTAGCTGTGTATTCTATGACCCCACAAGCTTCTGTCATCTTCCCTAACCCAGTACTGTGCTTAACAAAGATCTCACAGGAACTGCTATGAACTAGAGCATACCAAACTTGCATGTGTGGGGCTACTCTGAACATAATTTCACTTTTTTGCTTTCCTGTTGAGCGAGCAGAAAAACACAATGAGTTTCAGGGTGGCACTATTAATTTTTAACATAGCTAGACAAGACAGAATGTCTCCGTTCTGTGTGTGGCGGTTAATAAAACTGGCAGTGTACTCTTTGAACTACGAAGACGTTCTTTTGGTTCCATCTGATCACACTATACTAGATATAAGCAAATTTATCTCAATAAATAGAAGTACTGAAACTGAGGCTATTTTTAAAAAATAAATTTATAGGCAGACAGAAGTACCACACATTCCACTCCATCGGTTTCAAAACAGCTACTCAAGATATCAGTATAAAAAGCAGCAAATATGAATTTAAGTAAATGGATATGAATTTGAATCTACTTAAGTATGTTTATAATTCTGTATTTTAAAGGATGTTAGGAGAATGATAAATTTTGTCTAAAATGTTCCCTTTGAGGAGGAAGAATAGTTTAAAGGGGAATATGACTCTTTTTTTTTTTTTATTGAGAAAAGGAAAAAAAAGTTTCTGCCTCCTCCCAGCCTCCCATTTCCCTCCCCCTCCTCCCACCCTTCTCCCCCTCCCCCCACTCCTCTCCCCCTCCCTCTCCAGTCCAAAGAGCAGTCAGGGTTCCTTGCCCTGTGGAAAGTCCAAGGTCCTTCCCCCTCTGTCCATGTCTAGGAAGGTGAACATCCAAACTGGCTAGGCTCCCACAAAGCCAGAACATGAAGTAGGATCAAAACCCCATGCCATTGTCCTTGGCTTCTCATCAGCCCTCATTGTTCGCCATGTTCAGAGAGTCCGGTTTTATCCCATGGTTTTTCGGTCACAGTCCAGCTGGCCTTGGTGAGCTCCCAATAGATCAGCCCCATTGTCTCAGTGTGTGGGTGTACCCCTCGTGGTCCTGACTTCCTTGCTCATGTTCTCCCTCCTTCTGCTCCTCATTGGGACCTTGGAAGCTCAGTCCAGTGCTCCAGTGTGGGTCTCTGTCTCTATCTCCATCCATCACCAGATGAAGGTTCTATGGTGATATGCAAGATATTCGTCAGTATTGCTATAGGATAGGGTCATTTCAGGTTCCCTATCCTCAGCTGCCCAAGGAACTAACTGGGGACATCGCCTTGGGCTCCTGGGAGCCACTTTAGGTATAGGGGAGCACGGAAGCACAATTCTTAGTTAAGGGAGCCACCTTAGGGTTGGCAAGAGACTTGAGCCTAGAGTGAGAATATGACTCTTACATTTCAAGAAAACCTTTTTTTTTTTTTTTGCTGTCAAATTACCAGAAAGGTTAAGGAGCAACTTACAGCTTCTTTGGCCGTCTAAGGGGCCTCTCTAAACTTGAGCATCCTTACCATCCTCTGTATTGACTGTGGCCTGCTCTGGGTCCGAGGGAACAATTTTGGGATAAGGTGTCTGTTGTGCATCTTGCTTTAGCCTGTATTTCTGCTGTGAAGCTGGAGTGCAGGAGGTCTGGGGGAAGGGAGGACCCAGTTGACTACACAGTGCTACCTGGGCCGTATCCCGAATGCCTGTCTGAATTCCTTGGACCAGCAAATATAGACAAACTTGGGAAGCACTGTAGCTCAGCATGGATATATCTTTGCTCCACAGGTTGTTAACGAAAATGAGCAAGGGCTCTTGGTCGTTTCTATTCCAGTTCTTAGCAGCCTTATGGGCTGCTGGCTTGTAGGCTTGTCTACTGGCTGTAGGCTTGTCTACTGGCTTGTAGGGTCTTGCAGTCCTCTTAAATGCTCAAGAGACGTGTAACACTCTGTGACTATTTGACTCTGCTTGTGACAAGCAGGAGGAAGAGGACTCCGATGAGGACTGTCCACAGAGAAGCCAACAACCTTCTTTACCAGATCCAGTGTCCCGTCTTCCTGTTGGTGATCACCTCACCTACTCTGAGACAGAGCCTATGAGGACCCTCCTACCAGATGAAAAGAAAGAAGGGAAGCAACCAGCTCTCTCCATGTCCAACTTACACGAGGCCACTATGTGAGTGAGCAGCCTGGGTGTGGCCTCTCAAAACCCCTGGCGTGGGTACCTTGCCTGCACATTAACAATTCAACATCTGTTCAGGGACTAAACTGTGTTCTCCCGCAGAGAATAGAACTGAAAGTGCCTTAACTGGAAACTACAGAAGGCAGAGCTGTAAAGAGCCACAGGAAAGCCCTACACATGCCATAAGTATTGATGTGCAATTACTTCGATCCTACTTTTCTGGTGTCTTGGCACTAGTAACCCTTGTAACCCTTAGATCTTGTAACCAAAGATCTGGTCTTTGAATATTGGACCCAAAGGAGTAAGATCCTTTGTGGGTCAACAGTGGCCAGAGCCCTTCTTTTCTTCCCTTTCTTTTCTTATTACATTCAAAAGACATAGTGTTGCAGATGGGGAATGGCCTTGACCACCAGTCAGTGAGTGGGGCTTTTCTTTTCTCAGTCAGGAGATGTCTGGACTTGCCTTACTATTCCTGTTATCCAGTGGTTGGCATATGTTTTGACCTTGTGGCCTTTTTGGTTTGCATGTAACATCCCACACTATGAGGTCTTCTTTAACATGCTTATATGTGTGTCCCAAATGGAAATGAGGTAAAACCAAGGACAATACGCAAGTTTAGCTTGTTGGGAAAAGAGAATATATCTTTCTTTCTTCTCTCATTCTCTCCAACCTTTGGGTGGTCGTTGTAAAGAAGTCATTTCTAAATTTAGGTGGGTGGGGGCATTTTTGAAATTGATAGACTTGACTTATAGAGAATGCCTGTATATAAACTTCAGTGTTCAGTCTCTGAAAGGATGGATTCTACCACAAAGTAGACTGCAGTGGAATGTCAGTCCTTCCCTGGGTTCAGTTTCATTCCCAAGGGCTTTGTCCTTCTCCCCTCACTCTAAGGACATAATATTTTCCCTCTTGTCTATCTTTACAAACATTGGTGTGTATTCCTTAGATGCCTTCTCTGTCCTATCATCTTCTTACCTCACTGTAACTGTCACCATTTTTCACAGCAGATGCAGTACGCTGTCCTTTTCTGTGCCCATGACACTGTTCATGTCAGGGAATACTAGGCTTATGTGCTGCGTCTGTACTGGGGCCACATTTATAGTGTGGGCCACGCTTACTCGGAACGTTCTTCCGTGATCACTCCCCAGTCATTCTGTGCCCAGTTTGCTGATCTAATGCAGCCGTAATCGCTCAGCCAGGCTGGTGCTCAGTAACGGCAATTGTGTTTCACCTGTCACAGGCCAGTCCTTCTTGACCATCTCCGGGAGACCAGGGCTGACAAGAAGAGGCTACGGAAAGCTCTGCGAGAATTTGAAGAGCAGTTTTTCAAACAGACAGGAAGGTAAGTGTGGGCAGAGTTTTTTATGCCAGTATTTCCTAAAGGACTACAGTTCAGAATGAACTCTGCTTTTGTAGGAGAGGGATAAGATGTCGGTCCTAGCTGAAGACCGTGTGTTTGGACAATGCAGTACACCATGGTAACACTGTGAGGGATGCTTTCTGGGATGTCGATGTTAATAGCTGCCAGGTGTTAGCATCAGTCTTTGCAAAGTGACAGCCGAGCTCTGAAAATGCTTTAATGTCTGAACTTCATCCCAACTACCAAAATTAACTAAGCTTAAAATGTCCTTGATTTTTAGCCCTTGTTCTAAGATTTTTAGTTCCACAAGTTATTCTCCAAGTATTACACGAATGCTTTCCTTCAACGTCCCCTCTCGCCGTCACCACCCATCTCTCTTTTATTCCAGGCTTTAGTCAAAAGTTCATAGCTATTTTTCTCTCCCTGAAATATTTAGTTGGACCATCTGTCTTCCTATGTTTTTCTGTCTCCACCCAGCTGTTACTATACCCTCTTTAATTCCCTGTAATTTTCAGTGTAACCAACAAAACTGTATCTGTAGTCAGGTAAGGAATGTTAGTGTCTTTTGGAGACGAGGCAACGTACTTAGCTGTCCTCAGTCTCTGTTTACACAAACGAGGTGAGATTCTCTGTCTCCTTGGATAAGTTAGGAAGCCATGACTGTGACGTGGGGCATTAGTCTTAAACACCCCACCCTCTGCCAGGTGTTCCCAACCTGCCGCAACTGCCAGAAGATTGTAATGCAAATGGCCCAACAACAACAGAACAAATAAAATTACATATTACAATACTGTGTAATGGCAAAAGGTTCGGTGTTCTTACGAGCATATCACTCTCCCAGAGTCACAGAACTTCCAAGTGGCAGAGCTGAGCTGGAAGGTTCTTCCTACCAACCACACCAGCTTGGGCATGATTTCCCAACTGCCTTTCGATCGTGCCTTGCTGTCATTTCCTGTCAGCCCACAGGCTGCCGTGAGGGTGTGGTACTGTGCTAGAGCACTTTGGGACATCCACGCTTAGCCTGCCTGCATCACTGTCTGAGAGAGCTTTTCTATTTTCCAGGGCTCTCCGTTAGCAATGGGCTTACTAGGTGAGAAACTTGTAGGTATACAAAGTAACAGGCTGGCTAGGTGCTTTGAGTTCATATGTGACTTACATTAAAGTATTAAAGTTATCTTTAAAATGATTCAGTTGGAATTTTTTTATTCTGTCAAGTATTTGAGTTGGTTTCAGGATTTCAAATCTTAGCAGGCAGTGCATGAAAAATAAGTTGCTTAGGGTTTAGACACATACAGTCTTCTCATTACCATGAGTTGCCTGAAGAATGACATTTTTACCTGTTTGAATACAGGGTCTGCCTTAGAGTATGAGAGGTTCCGGTGTGCTGGCAGTCCTGCCTGTAGGATCTATCAGTAGTAGTATTTGGCATGCCTTTTAGCATCATGGTGGCTTAACTGTTCTGCCTGTTCTTGGTAATAGCCATTGATTGTGTGTATATAAAAATCTATTCATCAGCATATATCTGAGAAGGAATTTGCAGAAGAACATGATTGCAATTTATTCATGATTTAACTGCACTCAAGGAGCAGCTTGTTTTACTGTACGTATAGTTCCTAAGCCTACGTTAGATATGTCTGTGCTTGCTTGCTCCATGTGAAGTAATGCGCCCTCTTGTGGTGATATGTCATTTAATAGGAAAATGCTCATTTATTAAAACTGAACTCAACCAGTTGAATGGCAAGGAAATAGACTTTAATATTTTTTTCCCTCAGACTGTTACTACTAAGATTTAACCACCGATAAAGCTAAAATGACCATGGGAATGGATTTTCTCTACATTTAGAAAGACTGTAAACATTCATAATAATAGAACACGAGAACACATAGACTGTGCATGTACCAAAGTTATGCACTGGTACACAGCCCAGTCTTTCAATTGGTGTGCAAAAGATATTGCAACTGAAACTGTGTATATGTTCATATGTATGGAGGCAAGAGGACAATTGGGATTGTCTAAGGATCAAAACTTGTGGGTCCTAAGGATCGAACTCAGGCCATCAGGTTTGGTAGCAGCCACCTTTACCCTCTGAGCCATCTCACTGGCTCCAATTTTGACTATGTAGACTTATGGATTCCGTCTGTCAAGGAGAAGCTCAGAAGCTCTATGCACAGCAGCAGAAACAGGGTTAACTGCTGGGAAACATTTCAAGTTTATAAGACGGCCTCTGAAGGGTTTTGTCACTATAAATTTATGGCCTATTTGTGCAATCAAATATCTGCAGTATTATCAGGATGTTTTTTTCTAAAAAGTTTTCACTGTAAGAGCCGAACATTTTGCACAGGCATGGAACTCTGGCAAGAAAGAGGATGAGCAGAAAAGGGATTCCTCAGAGGGGGCTCTAGCCTGTGTCTTTTCACCTGCACCATTGTTCTGTGCCTGAGCATGGGACCTCACGTTTGCTACAACACACTGGCAAAGGGTAGTGTTACTTAAAGACATGGAGCAGAGATTGAGGCTAAAGGGATGTAAAGAAGGCGCGCGCACACACACACACACACACACACACACACACATATGCACACACATGCATGCACCATGTGGACATTACAATCCCCTGTCAGTTATGAAAGGACATTTAATGACCCGGCTCATGTATCTACTAATAGACTGTATCTTCTTTTCTGCAGAAGTCCACAGAAGGAAGACAGGATGCCAATGGCGGATGAGTACTATGAATACAAGCACATAAAAGCCAAACTGAGACTGTTGGAGGTCCTCATCAGCAAGCAGGACGTGGCCAAAACTATTTGAGGTTTGGCTCTGACCAGTTCCACCCAAGATAAAGTCAAGTTTATTTTCCTCTATTGTTCTTGCTAAGTAGTTTTGATGTACTGAAAACTGAGCACTTTAGAGATAGTATTAGCTGTTTTTACAAAGGAAGAGCTAGTGTAATCATACACGAGAAGGGATTTAAATAGAGAAATAGTAGGTAATATTGGGATCGGTAAAAGCATTCACCCTACTCCACACAAAACTCAAATCCACAGTCAAATGTAATTGTCTCAAAAAAATCTAATATCTTGTCAAACCTAAAATAACACATAGGCAGATTACCTGCTAGGGAAGGTTTATTCGTGCCCAAAGATTGACCTCATTGATGTATGGAAAAGAACAGGGTTTAAATTAACTGTGAGACAAGGAAAACTTCTGCTCTTCATCCAGGGAGAAAAACAGCTGTTAAGAAGGTAATTTAAACGAGACAACATCCACTACCTTGTCCTGTATGTCTGTAGACGTTCTAAACACCCTAAAGTACACCCGACTGTGTCACTAATCTCTTACTTCTACATGAAAATAGTGCATTATCTGATCTGTTATTTGAACAGTTACATTTCTGGTTACCAAAGTTCATTTGGATGGCATGTACTTTGTGAATTATCTTTGTCTATAACTGACAAATGTTTATATTAAAATAAAATATTAAAAATTTAAAATAGGTATTTTGGATAGGTGTGTCTGCAGTATAATAACTCAATGTGACCATAGTATTATTGATAATTTTCTTGTTTCCTACACTAAGATTATATAACTATTTTTCCATTGGAAATATGCATCTTTCCTAATGTTCCAAGGTCTGTACTTTATAAAGTGAAACAACTTTCTTGAGTTGCATTCATTCTGCACAGGGTCAAAAGCTTGGAAATCACCAAGACACCTTTTATTTACTTTTTAGTGATCTAGCTTTTTCTCCATTCATTTAAAACACATTTATTGGGTTTGGTTTTTGTAAAATCAAGTAACAGACATTTTCTCACTTTCAACTTTGTTCCTATTTCTGTTTTCTGTATTTTTAAGCATGGTGTTGAAGAAACTCAGATTTTTTATATTGCTTGGGCAGAAAAAGATACTGATTCCAGAAGCGGACTATATCAGAGGCATATTGTTTTCTCTGTAGTCACCTGATGTTTTAAATCTTTGATGAATCAGAGTAGCGGCCTTCATAAATTTGTTTAATTGAAGTCATCTACTTGTAACAGGACAGATACACAACTATTTAAGGTTTACAAATTACATCTTTGATAAGGGAAATGGTTTCGTGAGCTGTATACAACTGTTATTAAAATGTAACTATATTCTATATGATTGTAAATATTTTATACAACATACAAATAAAATATTTTTCTATTATATTTATTATGTTGAAGCACAGTAACTTTCCTGTTAGCTAATATAAATAACATAAATAACACTGTCAAACAACAAGGTGGAAGTGCTGGCAATCTAGGCTTTAAGATTTAACTCATGCTGCAATTACACCTTTCATGCGGTTTGGAGTTATCCCAATATTTATTCAGTAGATTAAATGGATGCATATTTAAACACCATTTAGAAGCCATTATTTTGTACTTTGCTAAAGCGGTCTAGATAACTGTCTTGTTATGTTTGGCATAAAGGAAACATAAAAGCATTGCAGCATCTAGGCAAACAAAGTGTCAGGACAACCTGGGGACATCCTTGGAAGTGGTGGACAGAGTGGGCCAGAAGAGACACAGAAAGGCTCTGAATGATAGTTTGCTTTTTGTGACAGCGGCATATGCATGCTTCAGTGGGACATCTGGTGATGAAAATGAACAACAGAGGGCAATGCTCCTATGGGAAGACACTGCAGGGGAGGGTACGAAAGTGGCTTTAACGTCCAACACTGATGTTACAGGTTTTGCAGCTGGGGTCTTTCTTTGCATTTGCAGTAGACAAACTCATGAGCTGATGACCAGTGATTTCTGCCACGGTGCCCAGAGAAAGAGCCACGGGGTCAGTGTAAATGACTTCTAAAATGACATCCTGGGCGTGGTGGTACACCAGCGCCCCATCTTCTTCCGTACAGGTCAGAAACTTATTATCCTTGGAATTGAGTTGAGGAAGGCGCTGCTTACAGAATTCATCTCCTGGTGATCCCACAGGGGCAATGACAAGAATCACATAATGATAAGCAGTGTACATACAGTAGAAGTCCCCAAAGTATAAGTTAGTATTGGGGTTGAAAAGTTTTTCTGCTGCAATCTCAAACCTGTATCTTCCATACGGTGAATCCTGGGGTGGCTTCCCTGTGTTGAACTCAGTGCTGCAGCTGAAGAAGATGCCTTCTAATTTCCCACTGATGGGTGAGCCGTGGCTGCCACTATTATCCTTGACAGAAGGCTGCATGGCATTCCCATGGTGTTCTCTGTGGGAGAAAGGAGATAGCCACTGCTCAGTACAATAGTGGGAAATTTACTGATTTACAGATTTGAATAGCACAAAAATCTCTACCTACTGTTAAAGACTTGGAAGGCCTGACTTTCACCAGACTGAGGGTAATATATCTTTTGACAGTACTTACCACAGCCTTGGACCTAAGATAAAGATGATCTACAAGCCTTGGAGGTCCTTAACAATGAAATAAATTCCCTGGACTGACTGAAAAACTGAACTGCAATTAGAAATCTTACAGGTGAAATTATCTCCATTTGAACTTCAGGGGTTTTATAAGTGACATTAAAAAGAAAACTAAGTATTGAATATATGAACACTGCTAAGTAGAACTTGGTTTAAATGTGTGCTATCTACCAAGGATTGTCCATCCTCCTCAGAGACCGCAGGAAGATCTCCATTGTGCTCTGGTCTCAGACTACAGGAAGGTCTCCATCTTACTCTGGTTTGAAGACAGCAGCTATGGTGTCAACTCTTGGAGTCTCCTGTCCTTCTGGGGTACCTTGTGACTGTCCTCTCCATAGGATCCAGTACCTTCAGTGCTAGACTGTGGAGTTACTCCCTAATGAGCCACAGAAGGCTAGACCACTGATAGCAGGGACATCATTGCAAGGCAAATCAGAGACTACCCTTCACTTCTGTGATCAAACTCAAAAGCAACTAGCCTAATGAGTTCAATATGCCATCTGAATGATGTCAGAGTGAAAAATTGTTCTTACTGTTGATGTTTCATAGAATTTTAACTTTCTTCCACATGCACAGACTGAGAAAAATGAAATAGAGTAACTCCAAAGGAAAACAATCCATAATATATGAAATGCTTGAAAAACAAATCAAAGTGAGGATTCCAAGGAAACTCATTAGAATCCAGATAAAAAATGCAAGACAACAAGGAAATAAATTTCAATGCATAACAGATTTTCCAATAAAATCATGAAATAGAATCAATCAGAAACATTGTGCAAAATACTTAATACAATGGCAAGCTGCCAAGATACATGAGGATAGAATTTCTGAACCTAGGAGGCCTTGCAGCCAACAAAAGAATAGAACAAAGAAAACCTGTAAGATTTAAGAGATATGGTTAAACAAATGTTCTCATCATACAAATTTCAGAAGTTAACGAAGTGGAATTTATTTTTTTTGAAGAAGTAGTTTTTTTTTTTTTTTTTGAGACAAAGTCTCTCCTTGAAGCCCCAGGTAGCTTCAAGCTGAGAATTTCCCAACTCAGCAACCCAAGTGCTGGCACAATACCACACCTGGCTGAAGACGGAATTTCTACTGCCCTGGTTTTTATTACACAGTGTTTATCAACTGTCATAACAGAATGTTCGTTATTGACTGCTGGTCACAGAAGACCCACAGGTCAAGTGATAGTACATTCACACTACAGAAGACAGACAGTTAAAAAACCTGTTAAGGTGTATATTTTAAATGTAAATTGGTAAAACTACTTATTAATGTGAAATATTATTTATTAATGTGAAAAGAGAACCTAACCCTTTTAGATATAATTGTATAGCAAAAGCCCTAGAAGGAAGGCCCAACATGTTTTCAAATTGAGATTAGAGTGAAGGCACAAAAGACAGACTTTCACGGTTAATCTCTATTTCTGCCTTGGGAGCCTGTAGAGTTTTATTTCTTGTTATTTAGAAGTAATTAAAAGTAAGAACTTTTACTCTCTACTTAGGCTGGTCGGAAGTGTTTTGCACCTTATGTTTTGGCCATTTTAACCCAGACCAGACACAGGTTACCTCTTGCAGCTTGTTTGCCAGCGCCAGCTAGTCTCATTTGCCGCCAAACCCACTGCCCACTCCTTGCCTTCTATCTGAGACTCTATCATCCAGTTCCTTGACACTTTCCTCTCTTTGAATTCCCAGTGTGAGGCACCACACAGCAGATCTAAGGCACAGAGGAGGCGAGCCTTGGGTGTCTTCCTGACTTCCTCATGTCTGAACTCTGTGGCTCCAGAAAGGCTGGCTTCTGTCTACTGCTGCTGGGTGGGTGACGGGACTACCTTCCGTTCTCAAGAAGAGTAAAACTGCATCTTGATATTTGCAGGTTGCTTTCGTGTCTTATTAGTAGCTCAACTCCATTTACACTTTCATAAGTGGAAGTCTCATTGAGTTCTCTCCAGAATTCCCCAGTGCTTCTTTTTCTTGCTGGATGCCTACCAGCATGCTAAAGAATAGAAAGTCCAAGGTAGTACTCTGGTAAGGAAGGTTTTTTGTTTGTTTGCTTTTTACCTACCACCATAGTTAGAACAGCAGCAGGCCTCAGAATCCTCCACCTGACAACTATCTAATGGAGCTTGTTAAAAATGCAGGTTCGAGGAAACACGAAGTCACAGGGAGGCCTCATGAAAAACAGTGGGCTGTCCAGGAGCAAAGACTGTATTTTCTCCAACTCCAATTGTTGTCTCCTTCACTCAGTTTTCAGGAGTTTCCGATGCGCCTCGGAATAAATTTCTTCAGAACTTATTCCATTTGGGGGTTTCTCAGATAAAATTCACAGGCATATGTTGTTTATGACCTTTGGAACTATTCCAGCTTCATGAGTCTCAGCCCGACCCTCCTGTCCTCTCTGGATCTCCGAGCACCCGATGCTGTGTTCCACATAGTCATGGTATCTGACAGTCCTTATTTTCAGTTTGCATAGTATCTATTTGCTCTTTGGGTTTATTGGTATTTTTTCCTCTTGTCCTGCTCCAGTCCACCCACTGCTGTTTTATATTCCTACTGTTACTCTGTCCACATACTGTGTTTAAATCAGTTCTAAAAACATTGGTTCTTCATGTTGCTTTGTGCATTTTTGTTCCCAGTGTGTTTTCAATTGCCTATCAAAAGTTTTCTATGTGTATGTTCTATAAGTTAGAGCTGTGTTGATCTTCAGTATTCCTTATTTGTCCAGGTTCTGTGTTTACTGATAATTGATGAATTTAATTGTCTGGGTCTGGGCTACTGTGAGACTCTGGGTCTGATTTAAATCTAATATTTCAGTAGGCCCCTCTGACTATATACTAGAGAGGGTCATTTTATTATTATTAGATAAGGAAGAATATCTAAATTCTCCTTTAGGTATCCAGTAACATTAAGGTGAGAATTCAAGTTTCCACTGGACTCAGCGAACACAGTCTGGCTGGGATAGATCATTCTCTCCAGTTGTCTTCAGTAACACAGAACTGTAAGCCTCACTCCCTATAGTCGGTGGCAGGAAGTTCAGGCTTCTGACTCAGTAATTCAGCATTCTTGGAACCACTCTAGCAGGAGATCAGGTAGAGTAATTACAAGGGTGGAAAGACTGCACTGGCCTCTGCTGGTAGCCTGTGACTGATTCCCACACACCCGCGGCTTTGGCTGAAGTGGATGCAGCAGTTTTCTCCGGGTCCTTTAGGTAAAGGGCCAGGCCTTTTGTGCTTGTGATCTGCACCATGGGCATTTCTAGGTTGCCAGTTTCTTTAGCACACAGTCTAGCACATATGAGGTAAATGGAGACACAGAGAACTAACCCTGTATCTTTTCAGGGTTTTTAGTTGAGCCAAGTTCCACTTTCATTTCATAGTCTTGTATTTTATACAAAAATTTGAGGATTTTAAATTATCCTTGGGAGGAGGAACAGGAAAGACTTTATCTATTTTATTTAGGCTCTTCAAAATGGATACACCTCACTTCACTCTCCTATAAACCCCAGGTACTTATGTGCCACTATGAGTACATTTCCATGGAATAATAAAAGTAGGGAACATACGCAGAACTTGAAGCTTTGAAATGTGTCTTACTTTCAGTGACAGAACACCAACTAAGAGGACAAATGGTTTGGCAGCAAAAGTACAGGAATTGCTACACTGGTCTACCAAGCACAGGGGAGTCTTGAAAAACCAACCAGGTAGAGAGACACCCAAGGTAACTAGTGAACAGGAACAAGGGCAAGGGAGCAAGAGATTTTCATTCAAGGTAAGGACATGCTCATTTAGTGTTATTTATTTATTTATTTATTTTAGACGAGACCAAAATTAGTTCAGAATTTATCCATGATTTTTTTCAGTTGTGATGATCTGTGAAGATTATCAGGTAATTGTAAGATTCATTCATAGCCAATCAAGCATTCTGAAGATAACATCTTAAAGGGATCCTAATCAAGGAAATGTATCTTGATGATAGTTCACTAATTAAAAGGAAAATCAAGAACCATGGAAGTAAATGTCCTTAATAAAGTTCACTGCATAGGAGACTGAAGTATTTTTTTGTTGTTGTTGTCATTTGTAGTTTTGGGGTTTGAACCTCAACCACTACACGCCAGGCAAGCACGCTGTCAGAGCTCCATCTCCAGCTGAGAAAGGGCTTCTTCTTCTTCTTCCTTTTTTAAATAAGGCTTTAAAAAATGCTGAAGTCTACCCATGTCCTAGTAACTGTATTTGTATGTAATACTTCAAGATATAATTTACATGGGTTTTACTAGATGTTATTTTTGGAATTAAAACAAAAGTACATTCTGTTGTTGGTACACACATCTTTCATGCTTATGGGCTGGAATTAAATCATGTAATGTATACAATTACTTTATCATTTTCCAGGTGCTCTGACGCTAACTTTTTGTATTTTTGGAAACATTTCTGAGAACGAATTAAGCAAATGTTAACAGTTATAGAAAGGCTCTTCCCATGGAAGAATCAAAAAATCCTAGAGAAATACTGACCTCCAGTGGCCACACTCAGCAGTCACTGGCAGGATCCCAGGAACCCGAACCTACACCCAAGATCTGTTTTCTGTTGATATGTTTCTTTTGGAGGCAGCAGCAAGAGTGGAAATTTTTTGGTTTTTAAATTTTATGCTAAAAATATAGAAACTTCTCTTGCTGAATATATTAAGCCATTCTGCATTAGCAGCTGATAAGCACAATAATTTGCCATTCAGTTTAAATTAAGTGAATGGCATCCACCAGAAATTATATAGACTTTAGGCTGGTTAAGAGAACAACAGAATGAAATTTGAATTTATAAGATATTCAAACAAAAGGCAGATATGTTGGCCTTTCATCAAAATACATACAAATACCTGGCACAACAAAGCACTTGGCTTTCGTTCAAAGGTGGGGGGGGGAATAGAAAACATGCCCTCAGGCTCTTGTGGTTGAACATTTGGTCTCCAGCTGGTGGAGCAGTTAGAGCATGTGGTAGAACCAACCTTGCTAGTGGAAGGAGTCCCTGGGGTGGGCCCTAAGGCGGGGCTAGCCTAGCACTTCAGGCCATGGTCTACCAAGTTGTCTGGTGCTCTAAGAGTGCTGTACTGCCTGACCCCAGGTCTTCCTGGACAGCAGGAGGGCAGAAGCATTCCTCACAGGTTGATTCTCTCAGCTTCATGACCTCAGTAGTGAAGAAAGTGACTAAGGAATAATTCTTCTAGAACACATATGCTAGACATTTCTTTCTCAGTGCTACTGCATTCGCCACAGCTTGGAGCTCATTTTAAAATATGATTTTGATTTCAAAGAAATTAGAAAAGTATGTAAAAATTAAAAGAAACAAGACGTTCTTGTTTTCATAAATAGTGCTTTCAAGTAAAAAATCCTTTATAACTCTAAAGTGATTAGAGTTCTTTTTTATTATGTTGTTGTTTTGATACAGGTCTCTTGGCTGTTGCCTAAGCTGAGCTAGAACTCAAAGTGACCTTCCTGCCTCATCCTCTCAAATGCTAGTACTATCAGGGTGAGCCGCCACAACCAGCCTAAACAAAACAAAACAGATACTTTGGGTTGTGTGTACAAGTTCAGAACCACTGTACTATGTCATTTTAAAAGCCTTTTTCTCTTGGGGCTGGAGAGATGGCTCAGCAGATTAGAACGGTTGCTGCAATTCTAGAGAATTCAGATTCAATTCCCAGTTCATGTGATGACAGACAACCACTTGTAACTACAGTTCCAGGCGACCCTACACCCTCTCTGGCCTCTGTGAGAATGTGGTATATAGACATACATGCAGTCAAGATACCCAAACAAGTAAATAGTGATTCTTACCTAACATAGTCAAAATACTCTTTGTGCTGGTTCCGATAGAACACAGAGAACTTAAGCATGCGTCCCGCAATCACATCAGCCTTCTCCAGCAGCTGTGTTAGATGAACTTTTGAGTAATCTGAAACATTTAAAAGTCGATTATTGAGGACCACAGTACCAAAAGTGCCAGCTACATGCTTTATAAATTAGGGATTATTAATACACATCTTTAGGGAGTTAAACTTGGTAAATAGGACGGTATCAAGAAAAAATTTGTTGTCTTTCTGTGGCTTATTTTTATTTCTATATAAATATTTTTTGTGGTTCAAGGTTATTTCTTAGAATATTCTTGTAATTTTTAATCTTTCAAATTAAAGATTCTGAAGCAACCATGTTCAACAGCCAAGCAAGTGGCACTCAACAGCACATCTTCCACCAGCACCCCTACCCACCAGCACTCCTACCCACCAGCACTCCTACCCACCAGCACTTCTAACCACCAGCACCCCTACCCACCAGCACCCCTACCCACCAGCACTTCTACCCACAGCACCCTACCCACCAGTACCCCTACCCACCAGCACCTCTAACCACCAGCACCCTTACCCACCAGCACCCCTACCCACCAGCACCTCTAACCACCAGCACCCCTACCCACCAGCACCCCTACCCACCAGTACCTACACCCACCAGCACCCCTACCCACCAGCACCCCTACCCACCAGCACCCCTACCCACCAGCACCCCTACCCACCAGCACCTCTAACCACCAGCACCCCTACCCACCAGCACCCCTACCCACCAGCACCCCTACCCACCAGCACCTTTAACCACCAGCACCTCTAGCCACCAGCACCCCTACCCACCAGCACCCCTACCCATCAGCACCTCTACCCACCAGCACTCCTCTAACCACCAGCACCCCTACCCACCAGCACTCCTATACACCAGCACCCCTACTCAAGGGCATAGATAAAACTTAGAGGAAATGGTTCTGGACCACTTGCTAAACCTGAACAGAAAGTATTCTTCATCTTTTAACTATGAAAATAAGGAAGGGTAATTTATAGAGAAATACTGTAGAACAGTTAAAAGCTGACTTGTCATTTTCCTCGTAATTCTGCACAAATGCTATGAGATGTAGGAAAAATGAGAAAGCCATAGAGATTCCTCTATGAAAACATGCTTTTACTTCCTTTTATTGCTTGAAGTAAAAAAGAAAATGCATTCACCTGACAGCTTATGCATCAGAGCGTGTGTGTGTGTGTGTGTGTGTGTGTGTGTGTGTGTGTGTGTGTATTGGAACCACCAAAGACCTTCTTTAAGCTAACGAAGTTATAGTATTTCAGCCCTTTTTTATTTTGGTATAAAGTAGCCTCTGGTAGATAAATTATGTAGCTCCCTCGAATGGAAAAATACCAAGATATTTTTTGTGTATATTTACACAGAAAAATGCTTGTGCTCCAGGTGGGGTTCTACTTACTAGCAATACTTACCAGAAGTGCTTCAGATTTTGAGTTTGGGGAGTTTATAATATTTGCATATACTTTAATGGTTTTATTATTTCAAAAATCAAAACTGCTTCAAAGTTTAAAATATTCTGGACACTTTTATCAGTGCTCAAATGTTTCAGATTTCAGGGGCCGAAGAGATGGTACAGCAGTTAAGAGCACTTGTTGCTCTTTCAGAGAACCTGGTTCAATTCCCAGCACCTACATGTGAGCACCGTGTGGTTACAGGGACCTGATGCCCCTTTCTGCCCCACCCCACACTAACGCACAGGCATTTGTGCAGGCACTCATACATACATTTTTAAAAAGGTTCAGATTCAGAGCATTCCAATTTAGACTTCTTGATTGTGGCTATTCTACAACAGCACAGCATCAAAAGACAGCATGTCTGTATGTCTGACTTAAACCTTTAATGCAGGTATACTATAGAGATGGATACTTTGCATTGGTATGGATCTTGCTCTATTGATAAAAATTAAGATCTCCCACAAACCTTCCTGGTGCTATAAAAACAAATAAAAAGGGATTCAGGAAAAGGACTAAATGTGAGGTGGATTCCAGGGTGGGATAGGAATTCCAACGTGATAGAGCAGACACAGGGACGTTATCTCCAGAGAGGTCTGCTTGCTGTTAATACAATATTGGCATCTTTAGCTGTTTCACTTCTGATTATCAAACTATCATAATTATACTTAACTTATCCTACACTATTTCTTTACATTTCAACATCTCTGATGCTGCCTAACAATAAATGCAATAAGAAAACATTGCCATATTTAATTGGCAACTTTCTTTATGATACATTAAAACAGGGGCTCTTATAATGAGATATAGGGAAATATAAGCAAATATGGTACTTGTGAGAAACTTTACCTTGTTTTCAAATACTGAAATCTTTGGCAGTCAAGAGTGTTAACATTCTTAGCAGCTTCGTCACAGAACAAACAAAGAGGCATGAAGATAGAACCAAAATGAGGCAGACTTTCGGCCACTTAGCACACCCTTAGAGTTGACAGATACCAGGATAAGTAGTAGCTAATCATGAGCTGCATCTGAAAGAATGCAAGTGTGTGGCCATGTAAGAAGGGGTTGGGTCTTATCTGAGGTTTGCCACAGATGCGGGAGTTGCTAAGCGACCTGGAAACTGATGAGTGAATTGTTCTCTAGATTTTTTTCAACAAGCTCTTTCATGTTAAACAGCCTCTTTCTAACTTTTTTTTCTGTAGCTGAGCACATGTATGTGCACAGTGTGGAGGCCAGAGGTCACCTCAAGTGTCAAGTGCTATCCACCTTATTTTTTGAGACAGGGTCTTTCACTGGTCTAATGCTTTCCAAGAAGCTAGGCTCCTTGTCTTCAGAGTCCCAGAGATCTGCCTGCCTTTGCCATTCCAGAGCCTGGATTACAAGCATGTGCCACCACGCCTGGCTTTTTAAAGTGGGTTCTGGGATTCGTCAGGTCCGCACGCATGCAAGGCAAGCAGTTTACTATCAGAACTATCTCCCTAGCCCTCTCTGAATTTGTTTAATAGGAAAAATGTCATCCAGGTAAAGAGGAATCAGTAAAGCCCCATCCTAACCGACAAAAGGAGAGGATGGCAAAAGTGCTCTAGGGCACTCAGCAAACACACTCTGTGTGACTGAGTGGACAGAGGAGCAGGAGGAAAGAACGCCAGCGCTTCCATGAAAATACCGGACCACTCAAATGGAGTGTGGGGTTCCAGCAGAGAACAGGCCCTCCACATCAGGTTTTTCAGACAGATGACTGCTTAGGAAGTTTGTAATGAATCAAAGATGCACAAACAGGGCAGTAGTTTATAAATAGCCTTTTCAAGCTCCTCCAGAACTTAGGTAAAAATAACAAATATTTCTGCTGGGCATCTACCTAGGTCTATCTCTAACCTAAGTGCCGTTTCTGGTTTCTTTCCTTCAATATCTCTGAAAATGACACAGTAAAGGATAAATAGATATGAACACCCTCTTTACAGGATGAGGGTCCATGAATATTAACTTTATTCAGAAATTGCATCAGTTTTTATTTCACTTTGAAAAAAACTACACATGCAGCAAAAGGCAGTCTGATTCCACCACTTAAGTTGCTTGTCTGAGAACTCAGCTCCCTCCAACCAATACGATACCCATTAAGCAATGCTACCAACAGCACCACACCTCCGATGCAATGCTTACTCGCCTTGTAGGTACAAAAAGTGTATGTTGATGATTAGCTTTTCTAGAACGTTAATCAGTATAAACCACAGCTCCTTACCTGCTGTACAGAATTCTATAATTTCACTCCATTCAGACACAACATAATCACCATCAACTTGTTTTGAGGCAGTCTGCACCGCTACTGTATACTCAGTCCTTGGGCTCAAAAACCAGTGTCCACGAACAGTCATTGGCAAGGGAACCGCTTTTGCCACCAATTTTGTTGGAACATCCTAGGAAGATAAAAAGGAAGATGAGGCAGTAAAGAATAAAGGGGAGGAAAAAGTAGGCAAGGAAGAGACAGGAAGGCTATAAAATAACCTTCATCAACTATAAATAAACTCCTAAGAGCAGGGTTCCTGTTTGAGAACATGCAACAATTATTATATTTACATGTTTATTCTTTATATGCAGAAATTAAGGCCCTGGAAGAACAAGAAACAGGCTCCACATCCTACAATCCAGAAACAGAAAAGGACCTGCACTCTAATCATCATTTATAACATACTGTTTTCTCCTGTACATGCTATCTTCTTCAATACAGATTTTAAAAAAGAGCATAAAAGAACTAAGATTAATTGATTTAAAGTCTACTAAGTTAAAAATATATTCGCTTGATTCTTATGACTTGATAATTTTACTAGAGGGTTCATTACTAACTGTTTAGTATGGAAAGGAGAGAATGCTTTTAAAGTAAATATTAAAACAGATGAATTTGTTTCACATTCGTACTAGGTAACTTTCATAAAAGTATGGTGTCTGAGAAAGCTTAGGTCTTTTTGACCCCCAATTGATTACCTGCTGTTTGAACACTCACTACATTTTCAAAGTTGTGGTATTCATGGGTGAAGCAGAGGTCAAGCCTTGAAGTAGTCATCTTTTAATGTGAAGCATATCAAACGTTCTTCAAAAAGCAAATGACAGCAAAAAGAACACCCAAAACCAAACTGGAATTTGATAATAATGACCAATGAATAGTATTCTGCACTATGTAAATCCTCATTATGTTTAGTTTCTGTAACCATGAAAGACATTTCCAGAAACATAAAATGCATTGAATTTTCTGAGGTTAAGACGGAGTAGCACTGTCTTCTTCAAAGACCATGTTTATGTCTGTTTTCATCATCAGTAAAAGCAACGAAGCGTAAGAGAAACACTCGAGCCAGGAAATGGTTACTCCTAACAGCCACATCTGGAGGAAGAGCTGAAGGGTGACGGCAGAAACAGCAGGTAAATGTTACATATTACAACATGTGAAGGTTAGTAATTTTCAAACAAAATAAAGCACCCCCTAAATTCTACTTTTTAGGGCATTTTTTTAAAGCCTAATGTGTTTAAACAAAGTCCCACAATTTTATAAGTCAATCAGTTTGATTCAGGGAAGAATGGGTGCTTCATTGGAAAACTATTCAGAGCTGATGGCATCTTTTTTCCCTTCTGCTTCAGTGAAAGAATTTTACGGTTTGGTAAACAATTTAGCCATTTTTGTCTACATGGAGTAACTGAATTCTGAGTGGGGTAGCTGTCCTTCAAACTCCACTGCCCTCCCCAAGCCGGTTTTGACTTCATTTGTGTAGAATTTAATATAACTGATTTATAAGTGGATTGTATATTGAACTATCCTGATAGCACAGGATCAATTTTTTTTTTTTTTTTTTTTTTTTTTTTTTTTTTTTTTTTGGTTTTTCGAGACAGGGTTTCTCTGTAGCTTTGGAGCCTGTCCTGGAACTCCCTTTGTAGACCAGGCTGGTCTCGAACTCACAGAGATCCGCCTGTCTCTGCCTCCCGAGTGCTGGGATTAAAGGCGTGCGCCACCGCCGCCCGGCTAGGATCAATTTCTTTTAATGACTTAAAGTTTGCTATTTTTATCTTTGCATATAGTCACGATTTACCCTTTCACATGGTATTTCATTTTTCTTCAAAATTTTATTATGGGGATAAAGTTTTAAATCACACATAATTTTGTTTCTTAATGTCAAATATCTAAGTCATTAAAATTATTCTTTCTTTCAAAATGTCTTGATATTTAAAATGTTTTCAAGATGCAATGACTGTAAATGTTCACTAGGTTTACCTTGTGTTTAAATTTATTAGAATTCTTGTTCTCTTTCTTGTTGAGGTCAATGAAATAGTGTGTAATGCGGTCCTTTGACTTCGAGTCCATCTCCCATGAGATCTTGAAGGAGTCACATGTGATGTTACTTATTTTGATGTTATGTGGGACAGGGAGTTCTTCCATTTCTGCTATGCCGCTGTCTTGTGATTTGTTACCTGCCAGAAAATAATGCATAGAAAATTAGCTTTTGATGAGTTTTTCCAGTATTCAATGTCTTTAGTGGTATATGTATTTCTGAATTCAAAAGTACTAAATCTAAGATTCCATTTTGCTCATGAAGTAATTCACATCATAATGAAAGGTATTTATAAGGCCATATCACCAGTTAAAAAGCAGGCAAGTTCACTCCTATGATTGCTGTATTTCCATTTCCTAATCTCTGACTTATAGAAACACATTGATGATCCATCTTGCCTGTAAAACATCAACTTTGCCTGGTTACGATCTTGCTGAAAAGCCTCAAAGGACCATTCTTTCTGCATGACAAGTCAATGCTTACCCTAAGTAACACAGGTATTCTAACCCAGATGGTGACCCAGAAGTGCTGAAAATGAAGTGGCCCAGTCAAATGATGGCAATGCTTGTGTAGAAGTCTAAGAGAAGTCTAAGAGGTAGCAATGGAAAGCGGCAGAACTTGTTCCTCCTCCTTCACTTTGGAAATACCATATAGAAAAACAGTGTACAAATACTGAATAATACTGAAGCCTACTCATTTACTCTGCCAAGGTATTTATTGTAATCATTTCTCTATGATACTTGATGAATTGAATTTTGAGTGCTGAAATAATAAGCAAGGGTAAAGACAAAAGCTGAATGCCATGCTAACTGATGTCATTAAAACCATGAATCATCTTTATACTGTCACCTGGAGAAACTCTTAGCTCCTTTCTAGCAGTACAACACAATGGCTGAAGGACAAAAAGAGAAAATATAGACATATTTGCCATTCAAGTTTCTGCTATCTGTGAATAACTTAATAACTAAACATTAATAACTGTAACAAATCTCATGAAAAGCTTTGTTTTCATTAAAATTGAAGGGACATACCACCTGAATTAAAATGTGGAGATCTTTGATCAAATCATATTTTTCCTATGGACATTATAAAGCTCTTATTATGTCAAGAATATAAAATTTAAAACTATCACAGGCCCAATTTTAGACAAAATCAATACATTAACTCCTTCTTTTTTTGTTTGTTTGTTTGTTTGTTTGTTTTTGAGACAGGGTTTCTCTGTAGCTTTGGAGCCTATCCTGGAACTAGCTTTTGTAGACCAGACTGGCCTTGAACTCTCAGAGATCAGCCTGCTTCTGCCTCCTGAGTGCTGAGATTAAAGGTGTGCGCCACCACAGCCCAGCTAACATTAACTACTTTTATGAAGCTTTCTTACTTGCTTAGAAGTTAAGAATTAAGCTAAAATCTCCCTTCCCGTACTTCATAAATCACTTTTTAAATAAGATTTTGAAATAAATGACAGAAAAAGAGAGATTTTGCCTATAAAAACTGACAGAACAGCAAGCAAAACCCACCATCATGCACTAAGCACTCAGTCCATCTCAGCTCTGCCATGTGTGCATCTGTAATTAGCTCTCCTACCTTAGTGAAGACATGACTGTAAGAGTAATTCTGGGGGCTGGAGTGATGGCATGCATGGTGGTTCAGAGTGCACACTGCTCTTGCAGAGAGCCCAACATGCAAATCTGTACTCCACAACCATCTGAACTACAATTCCAGGGGACTTGCTTGTAGCTTCCATGGGCACCAGGCATGCATGGAAGTGAAATATTTATATACACAAAAGAAAATAATTCTGGCCATAATATTTTAAATATTAGATGATTCTAACATATTTTTGCTACTGTGTTGATCAGTAATACCGAGTGCAGACCAAATACATGATTTAATACATTTTTTTATATCCAAACATGAATGCTATTTTAAAAAATATTTCACAAGCAGTTCCTAATGACAGCATTTTTTGACATGCAGGGTAAAAACATTGGCAGATTATGCTAAGAATATTTACATATGGCTTTCTCAGTAAGTTTAAAGTGCCTTATATATTTGTACATCAATTCCTACAATGAAGCATAGATCCTTTTTTTGTCCCTGTTAAAAACAAAAAACCCTCACATCTTACCACCCCATCTTTACTTATACCCTGCCCTATGCCCTCAGCACCAGGCAGCCAGTACTCTGCCATGTATCTTTACAGATGATCTATTATACACATTTCCTCTAAACAATGCACATGGTTCTTCATGATCTCCTCTTTTCAAGCAATATATTGCTTTCCGGATTCATCTTTGCTATGTTATTCATTTATTTATGTTTATTGCTGAACAGGGCTCTGTTGTATGACTAGACCACCTTTTCTTTGTGCTGAGCAGCTGATGGACATTTCAGCTGTTTCTACTTTGTACCTATCACAAATGCTGATGCTATGAATATTTGCATACAAGGTTTGGTATGTGCACACATTGAATTCTCTTGTGTATATTCCTAGGAATGGGAAGAGTTAGAAGATCAGATGCTAGCTCTAATTTACTGAGGAACTAGAAGACTATTTTTCCAAAGAAGCCACACCACTTTCCAGGAGTGGGTGTGACTCTTACTAAAACGTTTTAGGACCTGTCATTTTTAGTATAGTTATTCTTTGCACTTTTTGCCAACTGGGGTTATAGCACTAATACCTTTGGAAGGGTGCAGCAACAAAGAACCATCTTAAGTCATAAAGAAGCCCTAACAGGTATGGAACCTACTAGTACCTTGACTGTACACTTTACCCTCTAATATTGGGAGTGATACATTTCCATTATACAGATACCCAGGTTCAGGAACTTTTTTAGAGCAGCAGACATGAATTCTCACTTTTTTTCTATCAGCAAGGTATTCTAGCCTATGTTCTATTTTTCTGTGGAAGTACAGAAATCAATCACTTCTCTAAGAGCTATGGTTTAGTTTAGTAGAGAATGGCAGGCAGAGTGTAAAACCCAAGTTGTAGGTGTGGCTATCTCTGTTAAAATATTACTATTTCTAGGGTCTCTGAATGGCTGGAAGAGCCAGAAACCCATGCATGTTTGTTCACTAATAAGTATCTACATTCCTACAGCCTTCCTCAAGACCTAGTAATACCACTTTTGGGTATATGTCTAACAGATGCTCAACCATGCCACAAGGACATGTGCTCAACTATGTTCATAGCAGCATTGTCATAGCCAGAACCTGGAAACAATCTAAATGCCCTTCGACCAAAGAATGGATAAGGAAAATGTGGTACATTTACACAATGGATACGGGCCCATATTTTATACAAAATATTTATAGGCGGGCACTCTGGCCATACTTAATTTTCAAGACAGCTACAATTCTATCAAACAAGATAGCCATCTAACAAAGGCCAGGATGTATGGCTCCTTCTCCATTGTTAAAATGTAGATTGCCTGGGGAGAGGTGTTGTTTCCAAAGCTGGTGACTTAAGTTGTAGGTGTTTCGCTAGCCCTGCCTCCCCCAGAAAGAGAATATTAATGAGTATTCACCTTGGTTTACCTGGGGGATAAAAGGTGTTTGGTATAATAAAAACAGGTAGTCTTCAGGATGGATAAAGCCTGAGATGCCCTTCCGAGATGGCTGTGTGAACTGTGTCTCGTTATTTCTCATGCCTCTGTACCGGTTGAGTTGGGGAAAAATAGTTTCTATATTGGGGCCTATGGGCTTTGACATAATGGCGCCCAACTTGGGGATGACCACTGACCACCGAGAAAAGCCAGAGAAAGAACAAGTACAAAAGAGAATGTGATACTGACCACTGAACCTTGAAAAAAGCCAAAAAAAGAACAGGAAGTACAAAAGAGAATGTGGTGCTGACCTAAACCCCCCAAAAAGCCAGAGAAAGGACAAGAAGCATGAGAGAGACGGTAAATGCTGACCATTGAACCCTGAGAAAAACCAGAGAAAGGACAGAGGAGAACATGAGGCTGATCTGTAAACCCCAAAAAACAAGGAGGGAGTGACCAGATGTGAGAAACCTGCAAGAAAAGAAATCAGTGGATACGTGAGTAATGTGTGCTTAGATAACAAAACAGGACAGTAATATCGGGAGTAAAATTTGTAAATATAAAAATCTAAAACAAGGAAAAAACAATCAAATGGCTATGCAGTTGATTGAAGATATATTAAAAGACAAAGGAGAGAGTGCAGCAGCATCAGATACAAGAACTTTTAGAATTCATAGAGGAGATATACCCTCGGTTTTCCCAATGTAGGACCTTAGACATAGCTGTATGGAAAGAAGTAGGAATGAGAATCCAACAACATTATTGTAATTATGGATCAGAAAGCATCCCCGAAGATACACCTTACTTCTGGATGCTAATATAGGAAAGGTTGGACTCAAATCCTGACCAGCAGGAGATAGTTCCATCTGCACCACCTGAGGAGTTGCCAGACATGATTTAGAACAGAGCAGTTACAACTTCTCTGTATATTTGAAAATATCAAAATAACGTATAATAGCAAAATTTACATTTCCTTCAAAAACAATTAAAATGTATTTTTTTATTGCTTTATGTTAAATACATAATTTAATATAGTTCCATGTGACTAACAAAAAGCAATATTCTGGGGGAGTCTCGCCTTTATGTTCCTGTTTAAACCTAGCCCTGGGATTACTGACACCATAATTAAAATTAGATGGCCAAATCTGGCTAAAAGAGTTCAGGGCAGGAGATAAGCGCATCCAGGCAGCCCTCACATTCAAGGCAAAGGACAATATAAACTTTGCAATTTCATTTTCAATTGGGTACTTGTTTTGCTACTTCTAATCAGCCATCGCAGATTACAAATTTCCATTATGCTAGTGCCTAAGCTGCTTTTCTATGCTGACAGTTGTATCACACTTGCAGAAGTGCCCAACTGTTAATTACAGAATGGTTAAGTGCATGCTTACTAGGAAGACAGATGGAGATGTGTGACCTTGGGTAAGTATCTTCGGATTCTCTAAGTTCTGTTTCTTCATAGGCCAGCCAGGATAGAATGAGGTAATAACCCACATATGAGAAACATAACTTCTGGATTGTATTACACCATGTTAGCTGGTTCAACTTACATTCATGTAAAAGGAAAGGATTAAAACTCTACTCCCCCAACTTGGTC